GGAAATGAGAAGAAGGGGAAGGAGAAAGGGTGGGGAGAAGGAGAAGTAGAAAAGGGAAAGGTAGAAAAGGGGGGAAAAGGAGAAGGAGAAAGGGAGAAGGATGAGAAGAAGGAGAGAAGAAAGGGGGTAAAGAAGGAGGAAAGGATGAGAAGAAGGAGAAGGAGAAAGAAGGAGAAGGATGAAAAAGAAGGGGAAAAGGGGAAGGAAAGAGAAGAAGGAAAGGGGTGAGAAGAAGGAGAAGAGGAGAAGGATGAGAAGAAGGGGAAGGATGAGAAGAAGGGAGGAAGGATGAGAAGAAGGAGAAGGATGAGAAGAAGGAGAAGGATGAGAAGAAGGAGAAGGAGAAGGATGAGAAGAAGGGAGAAGATGAGAAGAAGGAGAAGGATGAGAAGGGGGAAGGAGAAAAAAGGAGAAGGAAGGAAAAAGGAAAGGAGAAGGATGAGAAGAAGGAAAAGGAGAAGGAAGGGGAAGGATGGAGAAGGGAAGGATGAGAAAAAAAGGAGAAGGAGAAGGCGAAGAAGGAGAGGAGAAGGATGAGAAGAAGGAGAAGGTGAGAAGAAGGATGAGAAGAAGGAAGAAGGAGAAGGATGAGAGAAGGAGAAGGAGAAGGATGAGAAGAAGGAGAAGGAAGGAAGAGGAGAAGGGAGGATGAGAAGAAGGGAAGGATGAGAAGAAAGGAGAAAGGGGAAAGGGGAGAAGAAGGAGAAGGAGAAGGAGAGGAGAAGGAGAAGGATGGAAGAAGGAGAAGGATGAGAAGAAGGAGAAGGGAAGGATGAGAGAAGGAGAAGGATGAGAAGAAGGAGAAGGAGAAGGATGAGAGATGGAGAAGAGAAGGATGAGAAGAAGGAGAAGGAGAAGGATGAGAAGAAGGAGAAGGAGAAGGATGAGAAGAAGGAGAAGGATGAGGAAGGGAAGGATGAGAAGAAGGAGAAGGATGAGAAGAAGGAGAAGGATGGAGAGAAGGAGAAGGATGAGAAGAAGGGGAGAAGGAGAAGGATGACATGAGATCGTTCGGGAGGGGGGAGGAGGAACCGAGTGGATTGAAATGGTGAATGGAGGAAAGGAAGAGAGAGGCGCGCAGAGAGAGAGGGAGGAGAGGAAAGGGCATGTGTGGAAGAGAAGGGGATGATGCGTGATAATACAAATTACATATAATAGAAGCAGGGTGACAAGAGTGGTAGAGATGGGTAGAACCTGACACACAAGATGTAGATCTAGTTTGGAGTAGAAAGGGGTTAGAGAGAGACAAGAAATCGACGGGGGAAGAGAGAAAGGATAATAGTGGAGTTGGGAGCTGAAGCCTGGATAGATTGTGAGTGGTTGACGGGAGTTAGAGAAGAAATAGAACTAGTTAAAGAATTGTAGAGGAGGCGTAGGCCGAGAAGAAGGATGTGAAGAAAGGATGAGGAAGAAGGTAGTAAGGAGGAGAAGAAGGATGAGAAAGAGGAGAAGGATTTAAGTTATTTTGACAGGAGATAGGAATTTGTGAAGATGTGTCAAGGACCTGAGTAAGGAGGGAATGTATGAGAAACTGTCAGAAATAGGCTATTAATAAACAAACACATACTGTCAGAACCGCTGTAGTCTATTTCGGATGAAGGACTAGTCCAGAAATGTCATTAATAGTCTATTTCTGACAGTTCCATGACAAATTCCCTCCATACAGCGGTTGAAAAGCTGTATTGTGAATGGAACGTCAGATTTTCATAATACTATTTCTGACAGTTCTGGGACTGTCCTTCCATACAGCGGTTGAAACATTGTACTTTTTTATTTGTTTCCATAAATGGATCCATTTATGGAAAAAATTACATTAATGACAGTTCTGGGACTGTCCTTCCATACAGCGGTTGAAACATTGTATGTATTTGTTTCCATAAATGGATCCATTTATGGAAACAAATACATACAATGTTTCAACCGCTGTATGGAAGGACAGTCCCAGAACTGTCATTAATAGTCTATTTCTGACAGTTCTATGACATTTCCCTCCATACAGCGGTTGAAACAGCTGTATGGAGTGAATGTGTCCCAGAACTGTCAGAAATTGACACTATTTATGACAAGAAGAAATAGGATGAAAATAAGAATAATTCCAAGCCGGCAAAAAGTGTATCTGCAGCGCTCCTCTAAGTGTATCTGCAGAATGTCATTTATGGAAAAAAATAGATACAATGTTTCAACCGCTGTATGGAGTGAATGTCCCAGAACTGTCATAAATAGTCTATTTCTGACAGTTCTGGGACATTCACTCCATACAGCTGTTTCAACCGCTGTATGGAGGGAATGTCATAGAACTGTCAGAAATAGACTATTAATGACAGTTCTGGGACTGTCCTTCCATACAGCGGTTGAAACATTGTATGTATTTGTTTCCATAAATGGATCCATTTATGGAAACAAATAGATACAATGTTTCAAACCGCTGTATGGAAGGACAGTCCCAGAACTGTCATTAATAGTCTATTTCTGACAGTTCTATGACATTCCCTCCATACAGCGGTTGAAACAGCTGTATGGAGTGAATGTCCCAGAACTGTCAGAAATAGACTATTTCTGACAGTTCTGGGACTGTCCTTCCATACAGCGGTTGAAACATTGTATGTATTTGTTTCCATAAATGGATCCATTTATGGAAACAAATACATACAATGTTTCAACCGCTGTATGGAAGGACAGTCCCAGAACTGTCATTAATAATAGTCTATTTCTGACAGTTCCATGACATTCCCTCCATACAGCGGTTGAAACAGCTGTATGGAGTGAATGTCCCAGAACTGTCAGAAATAGACTATTTAATGACAGTTCTGGGACTGTCCTTCCATACAGCGGTTGAAACATTGTATGTATTTTTCCATCCATAAATGGATCCATTTATGGAACTGTCCATACATACATTGTTTCAACCGCTGTATGGAAGGACAGTCCCAGAACTGTCATTAATAGTCTATTTCTGACAGTTCCATGGACATTCCTCCATACAGCGGTTTGAAACAGCTGTATGGAGTGAATGTCCCAGAACTGTCAGAAATAGTCTATTTCTGACAGTTCTGGGACATTCACTCCATACAGCTGTTTCAACCGCTGTATGGAGGGAATGTCATGGAACTGTCAGAAATAGACTTTTAATGACAGTTCTGGGACTGTCCTTCCATACAGCGGTTGAAACATTGTATGTATTTGTTTTCCATAAATGGATCCATTTATGGAAAAAAATACATACAATGTTTCAAACCGCTGTATGGAAGGACAGTCCCAGAACTGTCATTAATAGTCTATTTCTGACAGTTCCATGACATTCCCTCCATACAGCGGTTGAAACAGCTGTATGGAGTGAATGTCCCAGAACTGTCAGAAATAGACTATTTCTGACAGTTCTGGGACATTCACTCCATACAGCTTGTTTCAACCGCTGTATGGAGGGAATGTCATTAAGAACTGTCAGAAATAGACTATTAATGACAGTTCTGGGACTGTCCTTCCATACAGCGGTTGAAACACATTGTATGTATTTGTTTCCATAAATGGGATCCATTTATGGAAACAAATACATATAATGTTTCAACCGCTGTATGGAAGGACAGTCCCAGAACTGTCATTAATAGTCTATTTCTGACATAAAATGACATTCTCCTATTTCTGACAGTTCTGTATTCTGAACATTCACTCCATACAGAACTTTTTTAGCTGTATGGAGGTGAATGTCCAGAACTGTCAGAAATAGACTATTAATGACAGTTCTGGGACTGTCCTTCCATACAGCGGTTGAAACATTGTATTTGTTTCCATTTGGATCCATAAATGGATCCATTTATCAAATCAGAAACTACAATAATTCTATTTCTGAAGCTGTATGGAAGGACAGTCCCAGAAATAAATAGTCTATTTTCTGACAGTTCTGGGACATTCACTCCATACAGCTGTTTTCAACCGCTGTATGGAGGGAATGTCATAGAACTGTCAGAAATAGACTATTAATGACAGTTCTGGGACTGTCCTTCCATACAGCGGTTGAAACATTGTATGTATTTGTTTTCCATAAATGGATCCATTTATGGAAACAAATAGATACAATGTTTCAACCGCTGTATGGAAGGACAGTCCCAGAACTGTCATTAATAGTCTATTTCTGACAGTTCTATGACATTCCCTCCATACAGCGGTTTGAAACAGCTGTATGGAGTGAATGTCCCAGAACTGTCAGAAATAGACTATTTATTTTGACAGTTCTGGGACATTCACTCCATACAGCGGTTGAAACATTGTATCTATTTTTTTCCATAAATGACATTCTGCAGATACACTTAGAGGAGCGCTGCAGATACACTTTTTGCCGGCTTGGAATTATTCTTATTTTCATCCTACCTCTTCTTCTTTTTCTTCTTATGAGGATGAGGATGAAGAAGAAGTAGGATGAAAATAAGATTAATTCCAAGCCGGCAAAAAGTGTATCTGCAGCGCTCCTCTAAGTGTATTTGCAGAATGTCATTTATGGAAAAAAAATAGAAAAAATACATATACAATGTTTCAACCGCTGTATGGAAGGACAGTCCCAGAACTGTCATAAATAGTCTATTTCTGACAGTTCTGGGACATTCACTCCATACAGCTGTTTCAAACCGCTGTATGGAGGGAATGTCATAGAACTGTCAGAAATAGACTATTAATGACAGTTCTGGGGGACTGTCCTTCCATACAGCGGTTGAAACATTGTATGTATTTGTTTCCATAAATGGATCCATTTTATGGAAACAAATACATACAATGTTTCAACCGCTGTATGGTATGGGACAGTCCCAGAACTGTCATTAATAGTCTATTTCTGACAGTTCCATGACATTCCCTCCATACAGCGGTTTTGAAACAGCTGTATGGAGTGAATGTCCCAGAACTGTCAGAAATAGACTATTTCTGACAGTTCTGGGACATTCACTCCATACAGCTGTTTCAACCGCTGTATGGAGGGAATGTCATGGAACTGTCAGAAATAGACTATTAATGACAGTTCTGGGACTGTCCTTCCATACAGCGGTTGAAACATTGTATGTATTTGTTTCCATAAATGGATCCATTTATGGAAACAAATACATACAATGTTTCAACCGCTGTATGGAAGGACAGTCCCAGAACTGTCAGAAATAGTCTATTTCTGACAGTTCTGGGACATTCCCTCCATACAGCTGTTTGAAACACCGCTGTATGGAGGGAATGTCATGGAACTGTCAGAAATAGACTATTATTTCTGGGACAGTTCCATGGACTGTCCTTCCATACATGCTGTTGATCCCATTGTAATTTTCTCAGTTTGGGGATCCACATTGAAAATCCATACAGCCTTCTTGTTTGAAACCGCTGTATGGAGGGAATGTCCAAGAACTGTCAGAAATAGACTATTAATGACAGTTCTGTATGGAGGGGATCCATCAATGGAACTGTCAGAAATAGTTTCAACCGCTCCTTTTAAGGACACTGAACTGTCATTTCCTTCATAGTCTATTTCTTCTCAGTTCCTTGACATTCCCTCCATACAGCGGTTTGAAACAGCTGTATGGAGTGAATGTCCCAGAACTGTCATCCTAATAGACTATTTCTGACAGTTCCATGGGGACATTCCCTCCATACAGCTTGAAAACAGCTGTATGGAGTGAATTCCCAGAACTGTTCCTAGACAGAAAAACTTCACACCCTCTTCCTTCTTCTCATCTTCTTCTCTCCTTCTTTCTTCATCTTCTTCTCTCCTTCTTCTCATCCTTTTTCCAAACCTTCTCCTTCTTTCAAAACCTTCTCCTCATCCTTCTCCTTCTCCTTCTTCTCAACCCCTTCCCCCACTACCCCCATCCATCACCCACCTCCTTCTTCTTCTCATCCTTCTCCTTCCTTCTTCTCATCCTTCTCCTTCTCCTTCTCCTCATCTTCATCCTTCTTCCTTCTCATACCTTCTCCTCTCCTTCTTCTCATCCTTCTCCTTCTCATCCTTCTTCTCTCTTCCATCCTCTCTTCTTCTCTTCTTCTCATCCTTTCTTCCTTCATCCTTCTTCTCCTTCTCATCCTTCTCTTCTCCTTCTTTCATCCTTCTCCTTCTCCTTCTTCTCTCCTTCTTCCTTCTTCTCATCCTTCTTCTTCCTTCTCTTCTCTCATCCTTCTCTTCTCCTTCTCCTTCTTCTTCTTCCTTCTCCTTCTTCTTCTCTTCTCCTTCTCCTTCTTCTCTCTTCTCCTTCTCCTTCTTCTCATCCTTCTCCTTCTTCTCATCCTTCTCTTTCCTTCTCTCTTCTCCTTCTCCTTCTCCTTCTCTCATCTCTTCATCCTTCTCCTTCTCTCATCCTTCTCCTTCTTCCTTCTTCTCTTCTTCTCTCCTTCTTTTCCTTCTCCTTCTTCTTCTCCTTCTCCTCCTTCTCTCATCTTCTCCTTCTCCTTTCTTCTCATCCTTCTCCTTCTTCTTCCTTCTTCTCATCCTTCTCCTTCTCCATCTTCTCATCCTTCTCCTTCTCCTTCTTCTCATCCTTCTCCTTCTCCATCTTCTCCTTCTTCTTCTTCTCTTTTCTTCTTCTCATCCTTTCTCCTTCTTCTCATCCTTCTCCTTCTCCTCTTCCTTCTCTTCTCTCTTCTTCATCCTTCTCCTTCTTCTCATCCTTCTCCTTCTTCTTTCATCCTTCTCCTTCTTCTCATCCTTCTCCTTCTTCTTCTCATCCTTCTCCTTCTTCCTTCTTCTCATCCTTCTCCTTCTCCTTCTTCTCATCTTCTCCTTCTCCTTCTTCTCATCCTTTCTCCTTCTTCTCATCCTTCTCCTTCTTCTCATCCTTCATCCTTCTCCTTCTTCTCATCTTTCCTTCTTCTTCTCTCCTTCTCCTTCTTCTCATCCTTCTCCTCCTTCTTCTCATCCTTCTCCTTCTCCTTCTTCTCATCCTTCTCCTTCTCCTTCTTCTCATCCTTCTCCTTCTCCTTCTTCTCATCCCTTCTCCTTCTTCTCATCCTTCTCCTTCTCTCTTCTTCTCATCCTTCTCCTTCTCCTTCTCCTTTCTTTCCTCATCTCCAAGGGCATTTAAATTAAAGGTACAGTGTTCTGCACTAATTTAAAGGCTCTCTGAAGCCTAGAAACCCTTTTTATATGTCATCTTCGTAGCGAAGAAATTCGCATCGAATCGAATTTCACACTGGAATTCGCCGAATCAGCCGAATCGAATTTTTGAGAAATTCGCTCATCTCTAATTACAATGTATAACTTGTCTCATTCTGTTTTTTCAGAAATGGAATTAGATCAACTACAAAAGGGACTCAATTTTTGCCTCCCTCCAAGTACACGTAATTTTTTTCAAACTATTTGTCGATCTCAATAAGTTTATCAGGAATCTTACTGCCCAAAGATTTTTTGCATTAAAGCAAGTATCCAAGAATAGTGATGAAATGGTGGAACTAGAGCCATCCTTTGCCATTGCCAATGATGATTCAGCTCTTGAAATCCTACAGGAGCTATATATAGAAGGAATGTAGGGAAACAAATTAGTGATCAAAAAACAAGGGGATGTGAAAAGGAATTCACAGAAAAAAGTGGTTACATTATGGACAGAATGCGATACTCAAAGTAATTAAAAAAAATTTGACCGGTCATGACGTCTATTTTTAATTGATTTTAGGTCATACCTTGATGTATTATCTCATTCTGGGGTGATGGCTAACTGAGGTATTTATCTTATTTGTCCATATATGTGTTGTGTTATAAAGCATAATTTTTTTAATTACTTTGAGTATCACATTCTGTCCATAATGTAACCACTTTTTTCTGTGAATCTCTTTTCACATCCCCTTGTTTTTTAATGTTTGGTTTTTTGGTTACTGAGCAGATACTGTACGTTTAGCGATACATGTTATTTATGAGCCCTTTATTTTCTAATTCTACCAAACAAATTAATGAACCTGCCGGAAACATTGGGTACAGTGCCCACGCTAGAGAGTAAAGTGGTACAGACCACCTTTAAACCCTTTCAACTTTTTTTCCTCATTGGGCAAAAGGGATTTTTATTCCCACCTTTTTGAGGTGTTTTTAACAACTGTAAAGATGTCATCCAGAATATCAGCCCTAAGAAAAGAAACAGACAAAAAGACCCCAATAAGGGCCCTATGGACAGGCTGAAACAAAATCAGCAGGTAGCAATACAAAGGGCAGATTAAGGGGGAAGCTTAGGGATACAAAATAAAGAATATTATGAAACCGAGGCAAGGAGGTTACTGGGAGATACTGACACATTTTAAATTAAAAAGAGATCCCACAGTGGAATACACTAAAGAACAAAACAGCTACTAGACCAGGCTCTGAGTAATAATGTACTCACTAAGAATGAGTATTACTTTCTCTTCAGAAAACATCCAGTTACACCCCATTTTTATCATATCCCAAAGGTGCATAAGAGCATCATGAATCCACCAGGAAGACCAATTATAGCTGGGATAGATAGCCTCACCAGTAATTTGGGATATTATGTTGATTTCTTCCTGTTGGAAATGCTGTCTAATTATCAGTGGCAACCTGGTTATAGATGGCTCTCACTAGATGTAGCCTCTCTATATACATCAATCGCTCATGAGTATGGCTTTAGAGCCATTGAATACCATCTAATGGAAGATGGGAAGTTCAAACCAGCCCAAGCAAACGTCCTGCATGACAGTATAGAGTACAAGCCAACACACAATTATTTTTCTTTCTTGGGAGAGTACTTCAAACAAGTCAAAGACACTGCTATGGGGGCCAGGTTCGCTCTTACCTCCACTATGTTTAAAGTGGGTTTTAAAATAAATAATGCCCCCTGGATCCACTCTGAGTTCCAGATCTACAAAAATCAGACTTTCCTCACTTACTATATGGGTGAATGTGATCCCATACGGGTTGTTGGTGCAGTATTCAAGAAAATCACTGAGCTCTTTATCTGAACCATCCCAGATAATTAGGATGTCATCTATATACCTAGTATAGAGGACCAGACTTGCTTGTAGGGATTTGTTTTTCTAGATATAGAAGTCCTCCCAGTATCTCATAAAGAGATTATATATATATATAAATATATATATATTAAAGGAACACTTTGAAAACACATCAGATCTCAATGGGGAATAATATCATGCTGGATATCTATACTGATATGGACTGGGTAATGTGTTAGGAACATAACAATGCCCCAGGGTTTGATGGAAATGAAAATTATCAACCTACAGAGGACTGAATTCAAGACACCCCAAAAATCAAAGTGAAAAAATGATGCAGCAGGCTAGTCCATTTTGCTGAACTTTCATTGCAGCCACTCAAAATGATACTCAGTAGTGTGTATGACCCCCACGTGCTTGTATGCATGCCTGACAATGTCGGGGCATGCTCCTAATGAAATGACGGATGTCCTGGGGTATTTCCTTACAGATCTTGACCAGGACATCACTGAGCTCCTGGACAGTCTGAGGTGCAACCTGGTGGTGTCGGATGAACCGAAACATGATATCCCAGAGGTGTTCTATTGGATTTAGGTCAGGCGAGCGTGGGGCCATTCAATGGTATCAATTCCTTCTTCCTCAAGGAACTGCCTGCATACTCTCACCACATGAGGCTGGGCATTGTCGTGCACCAGGAGGAACCCAGGATCCACTGCACCAGCATAGGGTCTGACAATGGGTACAAGGATTTCATCCTATTGTATAGAAAAATAGTGCATCGCTTAACAATGACCATAGAAAATATACTCTATTAACAATACATGGATAATTGGTGACACAAGGAGTTAATGGTAACAGTAACAGTGCCTTTATCACTCCCACTTAATAATTTGGTGAGTGTGGTAAATAAATAAATCAAATGAATAAATATATATAAAAGTTCTCAATCAAATAAGTGACAGTGCCAACAACGCACAAAACTTCATGCAAGGTGCATAGGTAGAACTCAGGTGATGGTGAGTGACATTCCTCCTCTGGCCAAAATGCCCCCTCACCTTATTGCAATGACCCACTGGGCCTATGCGCCTTCAAGATCACTAAGTGGGATCTTAACCACTATTGCTGCCAGACAAGCTCCTCCAATACTTGCTTCAAGTGAAGATAATGCACTGGAGACCTTGGCTCCTGACCACCGCTGGTTATGCCACTCGACAGGATAATAAAGGATAAAAAGACTCTGATAGTGTAGTAGTCTAAATACTCAGTGCTTTAATAAAGATGGAATAGCTGTTACATAGGGTGAGCACTAATGTGCCTCCTTCCAAGATTATACGTTACAGGCTGGTATCCTCCTCACATGCATGGGTGTACTGCATGGGTGAACTTGCCTCACTATCAGGTGTACCACGCAGCTTCCGGTGAGCGATGACGCATTTCCGGTCTACCGCCATCTTGGTACACCTGATAGTGAGGCAAGTTCACCCATGCAGTACACCCATGAGTTCTACCTATGCACCTTGCATGAAGTTTTGTGCGTTGTTGGCACTGTCACTTATTTGATTGAGAACTTTTATATATATATTTATTCATTTGATTTATTTATTTACCACACTCACCGAATTATTAAGTGGGAGTGAGAGGGGCACTGTTACCGTTACCATTAACTCCTTGTGTCACCAATTATCCATGTGTTGTTAATAGAGTGTATTTTCTATGGTCATTGTTAAGCGCTGCACTATTTTTCTATAAAATTGTATTATTTAACTGTTGGGTATCAGATCCAGTGCTGGCTGCTCCAGACGAGAATTTATAGGTAATCCATTAAGCGCAGGAGGATTTTACACACTTTATTTGTCCTAAGGATTTCATCCTGATACCTAATGGCAGTAAGGGTGTCATTGTCTAACCTGTAGAGGTCTGTGCGTCCCTCCATGTATATACCTCCCTAGACCATCGCTGACCCACCACCAAAACGGTCATGCTGAACGATGTTACAGGCAGCATAA